GGAGCGCATAGAACAAGGGGGGGGGGAGTTTATAAAATCAATTTATTTAAATATACTTTTATTGGAGGGACTTTAGAACCATTTAAATAAAGAATACTAATTTATTAATTTTTGTTTTCAAGTTACGGCATGATTATTTTTACTTTGCTTTAAAAATCCACCCATTATTATTAGTTAAGAATAATAATTTACTTTCAAGTAAAAGGTAGAAGCAAAAGGTAAAAGTAAAAGCTTTTGCTACAATTCGTATCCATAATCTATACGTTTTCCTTGCAAAGAAATGCTTCGGATTAAAGTCCTTCTAGATAGATTTTAACACAAAACAGTCCTACAAATACATAAATGTTTACGTTTCAAGCTGTGTGATGCCTGAGCAGCTACTGAAAAGTTGAAAAGAGCGAGAAAAGTTGTTGTGAACCTAGATTCCTCTTTTTAGAAGCAAATCCTTTAGTTTTTGAGCAGATGGTTCTTCTTATAAATACAAATTATGTAAAACCTTTTACCTTAAAGCAAACCTTCGAATCAAAACCTTTTCCTTCGCTTTTCTTATGCATATACCTTGAAGGAATTGCATCAATTTTTGGAAGCAACATATCTTTACTTCTGTATACTAATTATACCAATGAATATTGTGCGTGGTACACCGTACAAGGTTTTAAATCGAATATTTTATTTAAATAACAAACGATGATTTTACTACCTGGTGGACCTCCAAATCCATAGTCACTATTTCGTGGACCAGGATATATTTCTAAGGGAAACAGTCTTGTTGTTTGCCAAGTATGCCATATAAGTTCCTCGCCAATCCCACCAGATTTTCGAAGAGATGATGGAAATCTAATAAATAATTATGTATATCTATACTACGTAAAACGCAAAACTAAAACGTGAAATATTCACTTTACAGAAGAAGAATAAATTAAGAGTAATAAACTAAAACGAAGTAACCTAGTCTAAATTCTTACTGAATATTGATGGGAGACAGAATACTCTTAATAAATGGGCAATTAACTCATTGGCTTCTAAACATATTTCACATAAAATGATACATAATAATTGATAAGAAACAATGTTCCCTTTAATGTTTAGGATCGAAAGTTGGTATAAACACCGTGACCCCTGACTCGACCTCCAGCATAGCAATTTTGGCACAATGTTTTTTGATATCACTAGTGTTTAGTTAATATGATACAGGATGTCCAGAAAGGGTAGGAGGTGTTTGTAAATTCAATTAATGAAATTACAAGTCAAAAAAAAATATCTTGTTTTTAAACAAAGTTTTAGAAAGTTAAGTGTCAAAAATGATGTTGTCCAAATGTAGACCCTCGCGCTGCTGGCACTTCTCCAATCGAAAACGGAAATTAGCCGCCATGCGTCTACACATCTCCCTGGAAACGGCGGCCATTTCGGTGTGGATATTGTGCTTTAATTGTAGTAGAGATCGTGGTTTGTTTGCATACACGTTCTCTTTAAGATATCTCCATAAATAAAAATAAGCAGGAGGTGTAAGATCGGGAATCTCGAAAGCCGGTTGATAGTGCCTCCACCAGAGATCACTTTTTCCGGAAACAATTGATTAACAACCGCAAGCGATTGGTTTAAGGTGTGCCAAGTGGTCCCATCTTGTTGAAATCATCTTTCCACATTAAAACCACCAAACTCTTGCAGTTGTGGAACCAAAAAGTTTCTTAACATGTCACAATACCAGTAACTGTTTACCGTAAGTGTTCGCCCTCGCCGGTCTTCAAAAAAAGAAGGCCCAATGATGCTTTCACCAAACATGCTAGCCCAGCAATAACTTTTGGACTATGTAGTGGTTGTTCATGTTTATATCTTGGATCTTCTTTGGCCCAGTAGCAACAGTTCTATTTGTTTACATGACTATTTAAGTGAAAATTCGCTTCGTCACTAAACAGAATGTTTTCAAACGTTGGAAAGCGTTGAAGCATTTCATTTGCAAAATTCAGTCGGAGAAGATAGTGGGTAACGTGCAGTTTTTAAACTAACTGAATTTTGTAGGCTGTAAGATGTAAATCTTGCTTCAGAATCTTCTGTAACGACGATTTTTTAATGTCAAGTTCTTGACTGCGTTTGCGAACTGATTGAGACGGATACCGCACACCTCCGAACTGCGCCGTTACAGGGACACCGCAGATACAAATACCCCCTGTTCTTTCCGGACACCTTGTACTTTTATTTAACTGACTGACTTTTTATCCATAAACCATTGTGTTGAAGGGGTCACCTGTTTACGATTTTAGGCATATTTGGACCAATAACAATTAATATCTTTTGCAAAATTAATTTCTTTATAAATGTAACTCTAGAACCTCTTTAAGTACCTTAAAGTTATGGTAACTTGTTCAGGAATACTGTCGGTACCAGATAAACTATCATCAAATTCAACTGCTGCAAAAACAAGTTCGGGACTTTCCCAACTTTGTAAAAATCTCTGCATTTCTGTTGCCGTTTTAAAAGGAATACTTGACAGTCCCAATCTGTTTGCAACCTCATTCATTATTTTATCAATCTCAGGATTTATCGGGGAATGAACCAATACTGAATAACTTCAACAAGAGTAAATCTTAGCTCATTCGTTTTAAGATGTTAATGATAACTTACTTGCCATTTATTTCAATCGGAAATGAAGTGTAGTTTCTTCCTTCAGGATTATAATTCATTTTAATTATCCCTCTCAGTACAATAAGTACCAAACAAAATAAAACTGGAATTATAATTTGAAAAATGGTTTGAAGAAGATTTCGTCTTTGTAATGTGAAATTTTTCCATATTAAAACTGAAAACTTGCTTCCACGTTCATTTAGAGAGCTCCATAAGTGATTAGAATTTGAATACATATTAGGTTAACGGAAATAAACTAAAAAAATGACATTATTTATGACGCTGGATTCTTTCAAATCATCAGATCTTTTAATTCTATAAAATAAAAGCCTTTGCTTTACAGTAAAAGTGAATGCAACTTTTTAAAAAATCATACTTAACAAGCCTGTCATTAATATGCACAAAAGTTATACAGTGTGTTCAGAAGAAGTTGTAAAAATTTACTATTTACGAAATATACACACAATTCTTCTTTTTTATTTATCTTACCTAGCTAATTACTAATTAAACGTTGAAATAATTAATCAACCACAAGGGACTTTTTTCTGCAAAATTGTTTCTAATAAATTATTTATTAAACCTTAAAAAACTTTTCAAAGCATCCGAACATAGCGTAAGGTAACCAGGAAACAACCCTTGTGACCAAAGTTAAACTTTACTAAAAGACAAAATCACGTGATCTAAACTTAGAATGTATAATCCTAATGACCAGCATAGAAAAGTGAATACAAGAAAGGAAGTCAGACAAGAATGCACATCGAATTATTGTAAGTGGAAACAATTATTTTTCCATTTATGGCAAATGGTTTTGAATGGAATTTACAAATTTTCCATTGCTTCTCATTGAAGTTCAATTGAAATTTTTCCTACGGGATTGTCACCGCTACTTTTTAATCTACATATCCAAGATGCGATAAACATAAAAACAGAACAACATTAGGGTCAGATATACAAGATTTGTAGATGATATAGCGGTTCCAATTCTCTAATTTCCCTACTTGCAAGGCGACCATATTTTTTTATTTCAAATTCGGGACGGGAACTTGTAGCGGGTAGGGGGTAGTTAAGTTAAATAACTTAAATATGATTTTTTTAATAATTTTTTTTAATAAAAATTATACATNAGGCGACCATATTTTTTTATTTCAAATTCGGGACGGGAACTTGTAGCGGGTAGGGGGTAGTTAAGTTAAATAACTTAAATATGATTTTTTTAATAATTTTTTTAACAAAAATTATACATAAATACTATTTAAGGATATAATAAAAATCAGTATTTTATTCAAAAATTCGGGACAATCCGGGACAAAAAACCTGAATCCAGGACAAATATTGCTTCTAAAAAATCCGGGATGCAAAGTGGAAATCGGGGACTGTCGCGGCCAATCCGGGACGTATGGTCACCTTACTACTTGCAGCATGGTTCTAACATTCCACGCTCCGACTCGTGAAATATTGCACCCCCGAGGTAGTCCCCGCCCGGACATCCGAATGGGGGACTAGTTTACGTTTGGACTGTTTTACCCCAGAGGACGCCATCATTCTAGGGAACCCAAAATATCGAGGCCCCTTATTTTCCTATTTCTGCTTGATGCTATTTCTTGGTCTCAAATTAATTAACAACTAAGCTATCCTATAAGGTGACAACAAATTATTGTAGATATTAAAATCTATGTAATCAAAAACACCGAGAGTTTCGGAAGTATGACAATCTCACATAACTCAAAACTCAGAGAGATAATAAGTACCTATAGGGATGAAATATAAGGAATTTCTCAGATTGCACGTTTATTTCCTATACATAGATACACTTTTTCATCATCCCGCGACCAGGAAGTGTTTTTCCAGGATATGTAGATAACTTAGCAATCATGTTACGTACTCACAGAAAGAAAACTCGGGAAAGCTTTCAGTTCAGAGGAATAAGTAATATATATCTTTACATCATTCAAAATCACATTTGCAACACCTATTGGTCAGTTTAATTGATATGTACGTATCACATACGTAAAATAGAATGTAATACTAGCTGCAGGTTTGTGTTCTTTCACAATTTCTCAATAAAAATTTTTGAATACAAATAGTTACAATTGGTCTTATCACAAGTTGAGTAATAATTTTTAAAATGTTCCCTTGATGTAAAATGCTTTCAAATGGTATTTTCAAATTCTGTGAAATGAGAAACACACTTCCTACTTCAATCACGTCTTAAACCTTACAGCATTAAGTTAGCATATGAGCCAGGACATTCAATTCGTAAACCTTAGGCCACCCAGACTTAACGAAGCTATTCCCTTGATGATACTTTCGTTTAACTGGCTAATTTAATTTGAATTAATTATTTGATTCAGTATATTGGAAAAAAGAAAATAAAGTGTTTGAGATCGCTGCCCCATCACCGTTTTTTGTAAATGCGTAATTTATATATCAATTTTTATTTGTTTTACATAGAAAAATATTTTGATTCTACCTTTAATAGAATTTCAGTAAGCAGGTGGAACAATAACAATAACATTTAATTTGCACCAAATTTTGTTGATTAAAAANATCAATTAAATTCAATTATCCATTATTATTACTTTACTCAGCCTTTTATCCATAATGATCACATGACCTTTTCTATTAACTAATCGCGAATAAATAAAACTTACTTTTTAATGTGTTTTTAATAAAATAATCAACAAATTCAATCCAAAAGAAGTTAGAACAATTTATAACTTCACAAATTCACTAATACTGAAACAGACTAAAAATACGAAACCTATGTGAATTACTAATTGACAATACCTATGCAGATAAGATATGCAATGTTTACCTTTGACTAATCATAATTCGGAAATGATTATTTCGCAAAAGATCAATATTAGTAAAAATAAAATTGATAACTGATTGTGAGCTCTGAGAGAAGTTTAAAAAAGACACGAAATATTTTATTAGTTCTTTGGAGATTGTAATTTACAATGATGATTTTTAATGATCTAATATACTTAACGGTTCATTTTATCAATCATTTTAGTTTTTGAGTAGATTTGTACCTATATAAACAACTATAGTTTGTTTGAAAAGGATATATTTAGAATGGTTTATTCATTCTGAAAAATATTTGAACGAATCTAAATATCCACCAGATTTAACAGCAACGAAAATAAACTTTTCTTCCTAAATAAAGAATCCCTTCTTCTCATTCAATAAACATAAAAAAGGAATATTATATTTGTTGTTATATTGTCACGTAATAGTTTCATATTGCACTTTTATAATAACAAATTCTAGTACACAGAAACAAATTCCGGTCCCAAAATTCAATGAAATTCACTTTTATTAGGTGGAGAACTACAGTCTACAGTAAGATTTACTAATTACTGTTTCGCACTTAGGTTGGAGGTTTGCAAAATTTTACTTTATTTATGAAAACAACACATTTATTTACCCAAAAAAGATAAGATGTGAGCAATTATTAGTTATCTTGTACATATGTTAAACCTTGCAGGCACATTACATGTGCGCGATATTTAGTAGCATTCACCTGGTAGTTACTATAAAAAAAAAATTATGAAACACTAACCTAGTATATAAGCAAATAATTTTTTTGTACTTTAAACATAATCCCTTTTTCATTTAAAATTTTAGACATTCTCATCATTACAAAATTTCTTATTTCTGCTACTATTCATGTACTAAATATATGTTAAGTTTTGTATAGAAAGCTCGATGAACTTCATCGCTTTTTATACGAAACGAAAAGTAATAAACAATGTAGACAATCCAATAATAAACGATCAAACTTTCGGCAATAAAGATAATAGTTTGCTATACTGATAACATAAATTTGAACCAATATTATAAGATTTTAAGTACATTGATACCTTTGTAACATTTAAAGTATTTTAAAAAATATTTTTTAACTAAAATTTATATTGCTGCAAACAATTATTCCAATATCAAAATATGTAGGTACAATTATACCATTCAACTGAAGCAGCTAACATTTCTCTTTTTTAATAAAATACTTGAATAGTTTCATTAAATATAAACAATACGTAGTACAATAAATAAAATAAAAAATCTCATCGAGAAAGTTGATTTAAATTAAAAATAATTTTGATTAATAGCAGCTTTAGGTACATATTTTTAGTATGGCTTCATAATTGCTTCACATCAAGATGTTGAAATATTTTAATTCCAAAATACTAATATTGCTAATTTTACTTGTTTGGATTTGAGATTTCAGAACATGACCTGTTACCAGTTTTCCTACATCCCCTAAATATTATCACGACTCCCTTGGCAGTCGCCACCCTCACTTTGAGAATCACTGATCTAGGCTACCTTTCTTTTTCGTGTACGAAGTTGTAGACTGAATACTAATTTACATAGACATGATAACAATTTTAAATGTTTTATTATGATTCATTTAAAATAATCATGTTTCACTAAGAGTTAAAGCTTCAGCATATTTAATTTTTTTTTATCTACAGCAAAGAGCAGCGAAAACAATCATTGCTCTTACATTTTTTAGCACATGTTAATAAATTATATTTTATCTTTATTTCCCTCATATTTTGTTTCTATCATGACAAAAGCTGTCAAGCAATTAAAATATTATGAGAATACTTAAAAAAATAAATTAATTTATGTATAGATAATGAACAAATAATATTACCAGTATTTAACAAGAGTATTAATTGGCTATATTTTTTGATGCTGTGTTACCTACATTGACTTCCATTATTTTCTTAAAACTACCCTACCATTAAATTGAAAAATTTCCCTTATTTTACAAGAAGCATATAGAATCAGTAATGACTTAGTTTTGTAGCAAGCAATATTAATCAATTAAATTCAATTATCCATTATTATTACTTTACTCAGCCTTTTATCCATAATGATCACATGACCTTTTCTATTAACTAATCGCGAATAAATAAAACTTACTTTTTAATGTGTTTTTAATAAAATAATCAACAAATTCAATCCAAAAGAAGTTAGAACAATTTATAACTTCACAAATTCACTAATACTGAAACAGACTAAAAATACGAAACCTATGTGAATTACTAATTGACAATACCTATGCAGATAAGATATGCAATGTTTACCTTTGACTAATCATAATTCGGAAATGATTATTTCGCAAAAGATCAATATTAGTAAAAATAAAATTGATAACTGATTGTGAGCTCTGAGAGAAGTTTAAAAAAGACACGAAATATTTTATTAGTTCTTTGGAGATTGTAATTTACAATGATGATTTTTAATGATCTAATATACCTAACGGTTCATTTTATCAATCATTTTAGTTTTTGAGTAGATTTGTACCTATATAAACAACTATAGTTTGTTTGAAAAGGATATATTTAGAATGGTTTATTCATTCTGAAAAATATTTGAACGAATCTAAATATCCACCAGATTTAACAGCAACGAAAATAAACTTTTCTTCCTAAATAAAGAATCCCTTCTTCTCATTCAATAAACATAAAAAAGGAATATTATATTTGTTGTTATATTGTCACGTAATAGTTTCATATTGCACTTTTATAATAACAAATTCTAGTACACAGAAACAAATTCCGGTCCCAAAATTCAATGAAATTCACTTTTATTAGGTAGATATACGAGGGTGGATTGATAAGTTTCCGGCCTAACCAAGAGATGACGCCACTAGGCCTACCTTGAGGTGACATTCTATAGTACCATCCTTGGATAGCTTGTAGCTATAGTTTCAGCCCGATCTCCTTGCTAGTGTAGGTTTGACAGCACGCTGAACAAGACGCCTCTGTGGTTTTCGTAAAAATGGAAAAGCAGGAAAATCGTGCTGTCATCAAATACTTTTATTTGAAGGGGTTAACGCCGAAGGAAATTAAAAAAGAGATGGACTCAACACTGGGGACATCCTCCCCGTCATATTCAACCGTTAAGCAGTGGGTTTCCGAGTTTAAAAAGGGTCGTGTGAGCACCTCTGATGGGCCTCGCTCAGGACGCCCCGTTGAGGTCACAACTCCAGATATGATCGAAAAAATTCATCAAATAGTGCTGGGAGACCGCAGATTGAAAGTGCGTGAGATAGCTGAGACCTGTAAGATGTCATATGAACGTGTGCAACATATTTTGCACCAACATTTGCATATGGAAAAGCTCTGTGCAAGATGGGTGCCGCGTTTGCTAACAGTCGACCAAAAATTGATTCGAAAAAACATTTCTACCGCAAATTTGTCATTGTATAAGCGTAATCCAAGCGAATTTTTGCGTCGATTCGTAACCGTTGACGAAACGTGGGTCCACCACTACACTCCTGAAACCAAAGAACAGTCTAAACAGTGGATTGGACCAGGGGAACCAACTCCAAAGAAGGCAAAAACAATTTTTTCGGCGAACAAGGTTATGGCTACTGTTTTTTGGGATGCAAGAGGTATTATATACATTGATTACCTTGCAAAGGGTAATACTATCACTGGTCAATACTACGCAGACTTATTGCAACGTTTGAGCCACGAGGTGAAAATTAAACGACCTCATCTGGCGAAGAAAAAAATCTTGTTTCATCACGATAACGCACCAGCGCACACGTCAATCGTTGCGACGGCTAAAATCAACGATCTAAAGTTTGAATTGATGCCGCACCCTCCTTACTCTCCAGACCTAGCCCCGAGTGACTATTTTCTGTTCCCTAATCTCAAAAAATGGCTTGGCGGTAAGAGATTTGCGGACAATGAAGAAGTAATCGAAGCTGTAAATGGTTATTTTGAGGAGCTTGACGAATCAGTCTATAGAGATGGCATTAATAGACTGGAACACCGCTATGAGAAATGTATCAGCCTTGGAGGAGATTATGTTGAGAAATAAAAAAAAAAAATTTTTAAAAACCTTGTTTTTCTTGGTCAGGCCGGAAACTTATCAATCCACCCTCGTATATATAGATAGACTTATAACCCTTAAACCTTTGAATATATGAATGAGTATGTAAATAATTTTTTACTTTTTGTTATTAGGTACGTTTTCAATGGATAAAGTAATTCCAAAACCAAAAAACATAAAATTATATTGCTTACATTGGGCTAGATCTCTTCTTAACTTTACACAGATTATCAGTCTAGTTAGCACACATATTAGATTGAAATTCTTTAGTCATCTGAATAACTCTTCCCATTCTGCTTAATTGTTTATTTATAATATATGTATGGACGATTAAATAGAAGTAATATGCTTCTGCTGAATTGCGATAATGCATACATCTTATGCGATACCTGACAGATGTGTTAATTTAAACTATCAAAGTAACGCTGAATAAACTAAAGTCTGTACTGTATAAAGTTCAGGAAAACTTGAACCTGATTTTTTCAATATTTTAGTTGTAGGCTTTTAACGCATATCTATTTTCAGCAATATGCTATTTAAAAAGAGACTTTTTTCCTTAAAATATACAAAAATTTTTTCAAGCTACCTCTTTCTTTCCTCAAATTATTTTCTTGTTAATATATCTTGAGAGCTACTATACATAATTCATAAAAAATATACTGTTCTTCAAAATTAAGCTAGACGTGCGAAATATTAAGTTTCTCCGTTAAAAGATTTTGAAATCAGACAAACCCACCATATGGGTTTAGCTTTTTTATTTTTTAATTTAGACAAACCTAGACCAAAGTTGTACAGTGTAACGTAGTCCTAGTCCGACTGAGTTGTAAACATGCAAATAGTAAAACTAGCAAAGAAGTAAAATTATTTAAAAACCCCAACTAATTCCTTCAAACTCCTTAAAGACCTTGGTAATATTAGTTCACAATTTTAATAAAACAGTTTATAGAAACGTTTTACTGCATACTATAGGTATATGAATGATTTTCTTAAAATTTTTCATCAAGTTAGAAATTGTCATTGCTATATTTAATCACAAGAAATCGTTTATAGGGGGGGGGCTAGCTCTTGTGACATCATATATGTTAGGAGGGTCCCTGAAAATATGACGTAGGGTGACGAAGGGAGAGGGAAAGGCCAAAAAGGCGAAATAAAGTAAAATAAAATAAAAACAGAAACTATTGTTCTTAATATTATAACATTTTATTTTTCATAAATGCAATCACAATAAAACTTAAATACTACTTCATAGTAACACATCTCATTAAATCTAACATATATATATTGTAATTTACACTGCCCTTAAAGAAGCAATCAATATTAAAACAAAACAGGTATATTTTAAACAATTTATTTCACTTAACAAAAGCAACATAAATTGCTAAAGCAGATAGCAAATATTTCCTTCAAGTTCCAACATAACAATAATTTTCCATAAAAGAATAGGTATTCGAAATAGTAAATCAAGCAATATGAAGCTTAAAATTGTAACATTTCCTTATTTAAGTTTAAAAGTACGCTTAATGAAATTTCATGTACGAAAACACGTAAAAAACATACATTATCATATGGTTTATCATAGTAAAAATATAAAATTTATTCTAATAACGATTTTGCTTAAACTGCATCATAAAAACGGGCTTACAATTGTTATATAAATAGCACATAATTATTAATATATATAGTAATATTGCACTAGTTTCATTAAATCCTCGTCAATATGCTTGTGCGCATGTTTTGTAAGCATTTTTCATCACCTAATAACAAGGGGAAGACCAAGAACGTAACAATCATACTTTTTTAAATATTTTTTAGTGGGTAGAAATATTATTTAAATACTAAGACTAGCGTGAAAAAGCAAGTATCTTGTTAACACTCCAAAAAACTTTTTTTGAATTATCACTCAGTCTTCAGATCGAAATCTCGATTTTACTTTATCTATATAATACTTCTTGTTGCCATTTATTTTGATAAAATGCGTAAAAATATAGAAACACACACACTTAGACAGGAACACTGTTGCTTCCTTTTGGAAATGAGTTAAATGAAGTCTATTAGTATGCTTCATCGTTTTCTAAATCAAATGCCCAAGAAAGTTGTTTGGGAATAAAAACACCAAGCAACATTTCATTAGAAATTCATGTGGTTAACTACATACCTAAAATTTAATAAAAACAATCACTTTACTAAACAAAAAAATGATGTTTTCATTCCTACCAACTTCACATTTTGGTTTCTAACTTTATTTAAATTATCAACGCTTATCCTTTACATCTTTTGTGCTTGATTATGCCTGGATTATCAAACTGTTTATTCGTTAATACCATTGCTGTTGATTTTCATTTTATAAGTGCAAAAGTAGCATATGTACTCAAAATATTGATACATGATACTTGAACTACAAAATAGTTTTAGTTGTAAGTTATAATAGTGATTGGATTTAATTACAGATATAACAGATTCATACATGATTGCAATTTTCTTATGTATGGTTCAGTAAACATCACAAAATGCTTCTTAATCCTGAAAATTTCAAGAACTTTTAAGCATGACAAAAGTCTTTTCTTCTTTGAATTTATGAAAATTTATGTTTATCATTAAATTATTATTTATTTTTCCGTGCTTCAATAACGACTCACATTCAAATCTGTAATAATCAAAAACATTTAACTAAATCAATTATTATTGATGTGTAACAACCTATTGCTCGAGTATGAAACTAATTTCATGAGACGCAAACGGAAGTAGAAAGGAAATGGCGCGCGCAACTCAATCTTTAATTAAAGTTGCCTACAGTGACAAGTAATGGAAGAAAATGAGAAAAGGGAAAGAAAATGCAGACGACGTATTACCATATAGTTTTTCTAGATACGTGGTACAAAAATTATTTACAAAAAAATTTGAATATTTTTCATAAAAAGATTAGCAAGTTTTAAAATCACTTCAATCAATTTTCACGAAAATTTTGCACGCTATCCAGGTTAAATGTTACACATCATTGGGGTAACGCCAGACTTTTTTTTTTTTATTGGACGCCCTCAGAACGAATACACGAAGATAATACATCTATTTATAAAAAAAGAAAATATAAAGAAAGATATGCTACGTTGAAACCTTCATAAAGAAACAAGAACATTAAAGTATATGTAAAGTACTCAATTATTCTCAATTATTATGGGTTGCTACCTTTGAAAGGAAAGTTTATACTGAACTTAAACGTAACTGAGCTGCTACGTGTGTAATATTAATTCACACGTTTCCTTTTTAGTTACAATAATTGCTTAATCCTAGAAAATGATCACCACTTTTCACTAGAATATTAAAAGATGCGTGCAATTGCTTCCACAACGCATGCTCGGTTTCACAGGTTAGTGCTATCAGATACCGCAGCGGTAGTAGTAGGCGTTGAAGTAGCATCGTTCTTTGGTCGTTGGACGGGGGGCGGGGGCGGTGGCTCCGTTGGTTTATTCAAGCTGCGCGGCGAGGGAGGAGTGTGAAGGACACTTATAACAGTAGCGTGGGGTAATCCTGATCCTGTAGAATCTACAATGTTCCCGTCCGACTGCGTTCGCGCATGACCACCGACTCTAGTAAATCCGTTCACTTTTTCCGAATTACCGACATCTGAATTGAGCTTTTCACTTGATTTAATGACCGCTGACTTTGGAGGCACTTCGGGTTTGTTACTGCCATTACCAAGGGATGAAGTACGAGTACGTATGCTCTCCACTGGAACAATAATTTCGTCACTTTTTATGTCACCCGAAGACCGTGGATAAAATTGTTGCGTTTTTTCGTTACTAGGTTGGTGTCCAAGAAACCGTTCCTTTTCTGCAATCAAATTATCATGACCTGGTAAGTGTTTTTCACCGTTACGACCCTGCAACTGAATGTTAACATAACTAGGCTGCTGTTTGTGCGCAACACTGTACACCGAACACTGAGTCCTTTGAACGGCAGGATCAGACAGGGTACTGTTATTTGAAGAATCGAATGATGACCTCGGGATCGCTTTTAGAGATGCAGGACGTACTGGAACCGTTGGTTTATTTGGACGTTCGGGTTCTTCACGTGGTTTATTTCTCACTTGAACAGGATCAACTGCTATACAAATAATTATTGTTTGATGTTACGAATAATAAAAACAGCACATCTGTTAAGAATTTTCACTTAATCTACAAAACTACAATAACGAAATTATGCATGATTAAGTACAGGAAATAATGCCGACAATAAAATTAGCAACTTTGCATATATAAGAAATATATGCTTCTTATATGCATTATACATATGTATAATACATAATTATCTTTGTTTCCATTTGCGTTATTTAGTCATTACCCAGACGTAAAAGAGCTTATAACCTTTTTCGTCTATAAAAAAACTAAAATATGTTAAAGTATCTGTTGTTATTTTTTAATAATTACACCATGCCTGTATTTTGTTCTAGTTATAATAATTTTATTTGCGCTTCTTAGATCATGCTTTAAATTTAATAGCCAACATATTTGTCTACAACAATTATACCATGCACCACCACCTTCCCAACAAAAGAGTTATTTGATTTTCTCAAGCTTATAACAATTTAACATAGCAGTCAAATGGCAATACTTCAAAATCTTACATTGTAAAATATAAAATGATAAACCACTAATTATTTGTCTGCTTTATGTTGTATTTCAAGAATGCAAATGATGCCAGTACGCACGTGAAGTAGGAATTTCCCTCACATTAATAAAAAAAAGTAATTTTATTCTATATTTGTGAATCTAAGTAAAAATATAAGTTAAAATTTGTATAGGTGTTTATTATTTGGTTTTAAAGAATACAACCACATCCAGGAAAATGTCGTGTGTTATTAATTTTCTATTATACATTATTCAAACACGAATGTTAAAAAAATATTAAAATTCTTAAAATGCAACAAAGAAAAAATTAAGATCAAATCTACAGCTGTAAGTAAAAAATAAATAAAAATAAAGCGAATTCTACAATCCTATATAATTAATAAAAAGAAGTTGAACTAATTCATGGTGCTGGCAATATGCTATTGGTTCAAGACGTGCATTAATAATAAACAAAATAATATAGTAATTTATTAAACGTAACACAAACCACAAAATGCAAAATAAAATAATAAAAAGTACGAACTTTAAGGAGGAACTGGAGGTACAATAATTTCCAAGGGTTAACTAACTATTTAGAAATATGAGGGCGTTTACAGTCTTAATAACACTGTTGTGACCCTTGTATGTACTAGTAGCTTTTATTTTTTTTTTAAAGACTATATATTCGGTTTCTGTTTTCGAATCACTAAAATTGTAAAATAGAATTGTTCAATGATATCAATAGAATCATAATAACCAAAAGAACGCAATTTTTAATTACAATTTATCTCGTAGTGTCAACCTAAGTTTAACAAAAAAGATTGGTAAGATCAGTATTTTAATTTTTTTCCCTGGGTCCTTAGTTTTGATATTGTTACCATTACTATTGCTTACCTTCAGTTCCTCATTAAATTGTTCTTGTAAGTGTAAATGTGTTAATTGTAATCAATTAATTCCATTTTTATGTACTTCACCACCTTGTTGGTAACTTACCTTCAATATCTATTGCATTTAACGATTTGGTCATTAGATTGTCAGTGCTAGAAGTCCGGTATTCTCGACAATTGAACGCGTTCGACGGTCTGCCTTCGTCAAAATTAAAAGTACGAGGCGCTGCGACAGGTCGTCCAGGCGTTAACCCTTTACTATCTGATGGCGGTTTCTGTTGCAAACTATTCCCAGTTATAGTCATTTTCTCCACGTTCATAGTTTGAGCAGTTATCTGATGAACAGGTTTCGCTTTAGCGATCTGTACCACGCTCATGTCAAGCTTTTGCTGTTGTTGTTGTTGTTGATCATCGAATGCTTTTGATTTTTCGGCATTAATAAATGAATTATTGTCACATTCTATTACTAAACTTTGCCTTCGTGGTAGAACGTTTTTATCTTCGGGTTGGGTTTTTGTTTTGGGTACATTTCCGTCCAAGATGATAGCGCTCTTCACTTTGTGCGACCGCGATAGCGTGGTGCTTCCGGATGGGTAAGATGGGGGTATTCCTGTTACGCTTTCTGAGTCGCTCTTGTAATTCCCCGGGGGAACAGAGGGAGGTGTTGGAGCTAATTTATTTTTTCTTATCCTCGTCTGCGGCTTAGGGCTATCAAGTTGGTGAGAATTTGTGGGAGTGTGACTTTGCTGTTGTTGTGTTGCTAGCACATCAGGGTTCTCGTGATTAATTAATTTAACATTATTAAGAACTGGTCGTTGGAATTCGGGTTCTTCTGGTAACAGATCGCTTCTTGTAAAACTCAAGTATGGGCTCATATCATCAATAAATAGTATGTCAGATTTATTTATAAACAATTCTACGATCATGTTCATTGTGGCGCAATTACTCATATGAATATCCATTTCTTTATTTTTGTGCCAAAGGAGATTAGGGGCCATAACAATAGCCAAATTCGATGATGTCATTTTGTTTTCTTGGTTTTTCGAGAGTTTAGAGAGGAACTGTACTAAGTATGTAAGATTGATCCTGTTCGCTGCCGGCAGTTTCTTGAGGATCTCCTGAACTACAAGGATTCTTTGGTCTTCAGGATAACGCATAGATGACATCCATTCATCATAAAGACTATACGTTAACAAGGGTTCGGGGAGTTCCCTGAGGTATAGTTTTAAAGTGCTTGCGAGTACGTGAACATCTTGGTACTCTTGCAACAGGGGTGGACTAAAACAACCAGAGTCTATAGAAAGTTTCAGTCTTTTAACCCTTGAAGCACCTGAAAATAAAAATAAAAAATTAGAGCAATAACAAAATTGTATTGTGTTTTGTTACCTCCAACTACCCTAAAAAGTCCTTCCTCTAACATTCCAATTTCAGATAGGGCACAAATACACAGTTCTAAAGGATATGCAATGCTTCTTCCAGTTACACGTAAATGCTCTTCTAAGTTTAATCCAAACACAGCCTTAACAGGACTATCTCCTACAATTATTCGAATATGATTATTACTTATCTTTCTTATAAAACCCAAAATCATTATTATTATCATGTAAAAGATAGGAGAAACGAGCAACGAAAAAATTAAATTAATAACTTATCTACATAAATCTTATTCCAAAATTTTTGATGCTCTAATTTACCTATATTTTGTTCAAGTTTAGGAATAACTTTCTCTAGATTCTTTAAAGCACTTTCATGGTAAGCTCTTTGTAATTTTAATAGTTGTAAAATGTACTGAGACAATTCAGACTCTTTTCTCAACAGATTAAACATCTCTGCTGCCAATACATCCCTGTGTTGTTCCACCTTTGAATCTGCTTCTTCCATATCATCTTTAAGGGCTTCTCTTTGCGGACCATTCTTTGATGCAGCCTATGAATTGTTATTATTATTATTACTTAAATGTTGCATTAATTCATGTGATATTAAATGATTTACATGATATCTATTGCTTGCAGAATCCTTATCTAAAATATATTTTTTCAGATTCTGTTTGTGCTTAAAAATATTTGGCAAATCATTATCAATAACTGCTTGCAATGGGGCGCTGACCAACTGTTCAACTTTCAGTTCATGTTCTGCTTGTTCTTTGGCTAAATCTATTTCAGCTTGTCCACATTCTCTCAATATATACTGTATTAGTTGACAGTCGTATTCAGTACTACGAAAGCCCTGTTCTTGGAACGTTTGACCGAGTTGAAATTCAGAATATTTTTTCTAATTAAAAAAAAAAGATGTGAAATATAATAATTAGCGTGTTTTTTAAATTAAAAATACCATGCGTTTTTCTATGTTCCCTTCGGAATTTTGGAGAGAACCCGGAGATGGAATGCGCTTGCTGATAGCTGCAAGAGCACCCCGCAGATACTCCACTCTGTGGTCTGCAATTTGCAATTCCTCATGATTGAAAACTTCGCTTTTGTCAGCTCTGAAAATAATTTTACTTTAATCATGTGCACTTTATAAAATATCATTTTAACTTTTGTTTTTAAAAATTAGTGAAACAAATTATATGAAATTCATGTCAGAATTTTGGAAATTTTTTTATCTTTATTTAAAATTTACATCTGCATAAATGTGAAAGTCTAATATAAAAAAAATATAGAATTTTATAATTGCAATAGGAAGTGATACATCATGAAAATCTTGTTAAAACAGTATTGGATGCATTTACTTTTAAACATAAATAAAATTTGCTGGTATATCCAAAAGTGTAACTTTAACAAAGTATTTAATAAAAGTGAATTTGAGCTACTAAATCATTATTAATCTACTTCCTAACCAGTCAAATACTAATTTAAAAGAGATATAAATATTTTACAAAGGAATGATATATACCAAGTAAATAAAACTATAAAATCGATAATTTACAGCTTACAGCTTCAGAAATACTGCAAATTATCGTTATAAGTTAGAAATTGTTACTGGAATGCATATTTTGTTGACCGCTTAATAAGCAAATTAATGTAAACTGTTTGCCCCAATCATTTTCTATTATCATCTTATCTACCAGTATAAAGGTTCATGAATAAAGTGGTTAAATAAGCATATCAACATTAATAAATATACTAGTAGTAATTTTTGTTTATCAAAGCAGTTGAATCTCTTAATAATAATATTTTTGTTAATACATTCATAACTGCACACAAATAAAATCAAAAAAAATATATAAAAAGTACTTTTAGTAATTAGATACTTGCCTAAGTACTACTTAAATTAAAAATGTCTGTATGTGATACTTACACATAAAACAAATTCAAAATCATACAAGCACCTTTTGTAAATATAAAACGACCAATTATACAAATTATCCATATAATGTCAAATAAGGAGCTTATTGTAATATAATTTGAAAACTAACTTGTGGTATAAAAAAAAATTGGAAACAGTAATTATTTCATTGTGTAGTATGCATGCTACTAATTAAACTATTGAAAATAAACTGAAAAACAAACGCTTACCTTAAAAATGTTTGATCTGCAAGTTGTTTAACACGAAAAAATTGTTTCTTCATCTTGTATTTTTTTATCACTACTACCAAATGCAATGTGTAACTTCTAAGTCATCTGTGTGGAAAATATAAGCTTAAAAGGGTACTTGTGAATAATGCACTGAAAATCAAACTTCAAATAATTATCAGTTGAAATAAGCGACTAGTTGCTCACTTTTGCAGCCATGTTACGACTATTAAGCAATTAATAAATGCATTAATGAGACCTAACTCAATAATGATAGTTAAAAATCAAGCACGATTTAGTCTTTGTTTTTTAATTTTATTTATTTTTGTCACTAATTAAAGAAATTCCACTCCCTTCAGCCATTTGCACTTCCATATAACCTTCTGAGTCATCTGTAAATTTTACTTAACCTCCAATGTAGCACTTTTCAAGAAATATAGCCTCTATAGTAGCCCTAAATTAAACAACTAAATAAAACCACATAACACACATTATTTTCTCTTGAAATATTAAATACGGAAAAGCTTTTAAATTATCTTGTCGATTCAAAAAAAGAAAACAATTGTATACTATTGAAAACCTATACTATTATGGATATTATTATTCCATTTATACCATAGACAACTTATACAATACATAATAATCGTAGATATAGATAAATAATCAATGAGTATAGAAGAGGGTAACCTATGGAAAAGATGCGCTCATATAAGTAACTTATCCCATTCAGTTGCAAATGGCAAATCAACTAAATACACTTTCATTTATTTAAATGAATAATAGCTACGTCAAGATCTATACTAGGTAATAAAATAAAAACGAAACAATAAAATTTTCAATGATAGCGTCAGATGATCATTAAATTTAATGTATATTAATTATTTCTACTTAAGCAACATTAATGCGTCTGACCATAACGAATTTAATAAATTTTGAAACGAAATGGTCGACACTAATTGTGTAATTTACTTTTTTTAATACCCAAATATATTACATTATTCTACCACATATACAGCGAATGGTGTGCGGTTGCATAAGTCCATCATAAAATTAAATTGGACAATATTTTTTTACATTATTCTTGAAAAATATTCATCCAAACTCCGACTAAATTACTAAAAACATGTTATTAGTTTTCAATTAGTCTTTACTATGCGTTTTGACAAAAATATATTTTTGCGAAATCGAAGAAAATGATTTATGATTTTTGTTCCTTTTTAAACAATTTTCAAATTTGGAGATGTAAAATTTCGCTCTTTGTTCAAGCTAATTTAATTTGATTTGATATAAAAGCCCTTAAAAGTTAGACGCCTATTATCGAAAATGAGTATTTGAGAAATCGAAAAAAATCCTCCATAATTTCGAGTCCTTTTTAACTAATTTACCTTAAAGTGACATGAGTTTTGACGAAAATGTGTTTTTGCAAAATCGAAGGAAATGATTCATAATTCGCGCTCTTTTTTAATCAATTTTTAAATTTATATCCGTAAAATTTCATTTTTTACTGTGGTTCAAGTCAATTTAAAATGAAACCGCGGCAGGGTGTTTTGACAAAAATATTTTTTTAGCGAAATTGCATGAAGGAAATATTGACAAATTTCCATTTTAAACAATTTTCACATTTGAACACGCAAATTTTCGCTCTTTACGTTGTTCAAGCTACTTTATATTTATGTAATAACAGGATTTCGTAAAGTGGCTTGTCTTTAATTTCACCATTCTTAACCACTTGTATCAGCACTACATAAAAATACTATTAATTTTACATTACTATACTATGACTGTTTAAATAAAAAGAAATCATAGTCAACAGTTCGTACTTGTGAATTTAATAATTCAAAATTTTGAATCGCTATTTTTACAAAATGCAGAATATTTCGGAAGTAGTATTGTAAAAAAGGTAAAAAAAAATCGTTATATAAATGAATTACGTATTATGAAGAAGTTGAATAGAACGCTACTGAAAATACTACTAATTAAATCGTAGTAGGAGACATTACTACTGTTATATACAATTACCCACTGTATATACCACTGTTATTGTCATGTTATTGTTATATCCAATGTTCGACCTTCATATCTAAGGATTGTGTATGCAGCGAATACATAAGAAGTACGACTACACGTACAAAGATAATGAGTATTTCATATTTCCGCAACCGCTTGGCATAGTGTAGTTATACCTACTACAGAAATAATCCACGTTTCGAAATCTATTTTGACTTAGTAGACAATATTTTGATAATAATTAGTACAATTTTACAAGTAGGCTCAATTTACCAGATAAGTTTTAGAACGTTTGCTTTTTATTTACTTATCCAGTTTATTTGATTGATCTTTAATTGTCGTGATAAGAAAGATATAATACGCGTTACCTGTACAATGTACCGTATGATATTGAGTAATTCGGTACTGTAAATACCGGTTCAATAAAAAATAGTGAAAGTATTATAAAAGAGCGCGACACAAGTTTATCGCTGCCAGTTGGCCGGGTGTTAGTGTAAGTGATGCGATACGATCCGTGCAGGATTATTATATACTGTTTAGTGAAAGTAAAGAATTGTCTTTTTAATCCGCACGATATCAGAATGACTATAAACAAAAAATTATTAAATGTCCTGCTCCTAGGATTCGGATTCATGTTTGTTTTTACGGCATTCCAGACTATGGGAAATATACAAGTGAGTTGACAAGTTTTCAAACTTTTCAAACTAGATCAAAATACAATTTTTGAAAAATTAGAATAAAAAGAAATAAAGATAAAGACAAAAAATGTTTAATGTATATCTATAAATGTAAGTGCTTTTTATCGTTGTAGCATTGTACGTATTGTTGTTTCAAGAATTTTTAAGTTTCATTCAAAAATGTCTAACTTATGTCTGTAGAGAGTGTTCAATGAAATAATGTCAAGTTGTCAAGCTAAAGGGGAGACGTTGAGGGTGTCAGGGTCTTCCCGAAAGATTTAGCGTTTTTTTATACTTCCATACTTTTTCCCCTAACTTATCCTTCTTTGATAAACCGACTGATATTAAAAATCAATAATATTTTCTTCCAAATGCCTGCCCAAAGTACCGAGTAAAAAAAATACAAAACTTTGATTTTTTTTTTAATTTTGACCAAAATTACAAATTATTGGAGGAATTAAGGAAAGAAATATTTACATATAAAAAATCTTCAAGAGTAAATCAGCTAGGGTCCCAATGAGATTAGCCACACTCCCTCGTGTTTACCCCATTTTAGGCTGTCCCACAAGGCATGTACGTAACGTCTTTCCTAATTCGCGCACCACTATGAATGCCATATGTGATTTTTCTTACGCCCTTTAAAAAAAAATATTTGGGAAAATCAATCGGATTATATCATGATGCTCTCCTCGTCTCTCCTTCGGGTCTAAAGGCCGTCGTCGATTGAAGTTGCTTCATAACGTTTCGCTAGCACGAGCGGTGACTTCTTCAGAAGTCCTTTCATTTACGATGCTGGATGTGGACTACGGCCTTTAGACTACTGACCGCGAAAGCCCTTACCAACTTGTCGTGTTATATCAATTGACAATTTTGGAATATGACCCACTAGCAGATAACCGCAACTTTGTCTTAGAAAAGTTCCTATATTTGATCGAACTCCATAAGGCAGATGGTGGGGTTGTTCACATCTTTGTAAGGTTATACATGTATCCTAAGGTTTGCCACATAAGATTCCTATAAAAACCCCCTAAGACATAGGTACCTCACAGGAGTATCGCTGATTTTTTTTGTAGAGGACCTAACGAGTAATCTACATTGATATCCCTCATGCTACATGAGGAGATTGAGATTACAATAAGTGAAAGCATCATCAGTATTACTTTATATTTTCATTATAATTTTCTCTTCCTATGAAAGTCAATAAAAAATAAGCGAGATAGGCTGATAGTACACCTTCTCAGGCATGAAGGTCTAGTCAGAGACATATTAGAGGCAGAAACAGGAGTTAGGAGGGGTAGAGGTAGACCTAGATTAGATAGTTAAGTATGTGGGCTGTTCTAGTTTCAGGGAAATGCGAAGTTTAGCTCAGGATAGGAAAGAGTGGAGGTACGTGTCCAACCAGTCTTAGGACTGATGACCTTATGATGATGATGTCTTATCTGTTTTTCCACCCTTTTTCTTCTCTGCAAAAACCGCCAGACATTTTCTTTCTGATATTGTTGAACTCCAGTTTTTAGCTTCACAAAATGATAGAAGTTATAAATTTTATCAAAACCCTTAAATTATTAAAATACTTATGTAAATTCAAATAAAAGCCTAAATATACAAAATCGAAATGATGACTGTAGGATTTGCTTTCGATTACCGCATGGAATTACACTTTCAACTGGTTCCTTTTCGGTTCCTTTTACATTTTTAGAATACTTACTATATTTTAAACACGTACGGAGTGTACAGAACATTGAACCCGGGACTTGATAAAGGTCACTAAGGAATATACATATTTTTTTATTCCGTTAATGCGGGCTACACACTACCCAAACTATGAGAATATTTATTTACAAGCGAGGTAAATAAAAAATGAATCCAACTGAATTTGCATTTAAACGAGCTACGATTCAAGGATAACAATTTACATTCTGGAATTTTATGGTCAAAGCAAGAACATAAAATACTGTTTGGTCTAAAGGAACATGATTTTTTACGTAAATAACTGTTGCACCTTACTTAATAAAACGATTATTTTATGCATATTGTGTTCCAAAAAAATTACAATTGTAACAATAATAAAATGAAAATTTCAATTTTTTTTAGTTTGTTCTAGTTTTACTTTTGCTTCATCAAGGTCGTCAGTCCTTAAGACTTAATCTTCGCATTTCCCTAAAACTAGACCATCCTACATCCTTAACTATTTGCGAACAGTAATCTAATCTAGGTCTACCTCTACCCCTTTCGTTGTTCTTGAAAGGCATTATATTAAAAATACCATTTCGCGTTTTATTAAAGATGAACACCATATTTCTAGTAAGTATTAGAAAAACAAACAACTGCTAGTTTACCTTTCTGAATTAGGTAAAAGCTTATATACAATACAAATATGTAAACCATTGTTTTTGTTATCTAGACTTTTTAAAAGGAAAAATTATAATGTATCAGTAAATTGATCAGTTAAACCGAAATGAAAAAGTACTCGTAATCTAATAAATAAACAATAAAAAGTGTGATTACCTATATCCATTGTCAATATGTACTTAATCGGTGAAGTTTGATTACAACTTTACATCAGCATATATTATCTTCGGAAGGCATATCGTAATTTAGATAAATTAAAAACTACTGCAAATTATGACAGTATATAATTGTTTTTAGTTACCAGTACGAAGTTTATCAAATTAAATCGTTTCATAAATTGGCCCTTCCTCCGTTGCATAAATTGACCTTTTAGAATAAAGAAATACATAGTACGAGGTACTTGAACGAAGTAAAATATTAAAAAAAAAAATTAGTTTGTCTAGACATAAGAACAAAGAACACTTACACCAAGAACATTTTTGTAGATCCCTTTTTTGAAACAATGGTCAAGTTTCTTTTTTTTTATATTTACGTAAAGTAAACTGAAAGTTTCAAATACCATAAATGTTTTGTCCCAAAAAAAGAATTTATTAAAGTTTCTTCAAATAGTTTAACTGATAAATCCACTAGAAGTAATAATTTTTCGTTTGTTTTAATCTTGGTCTTAGGACTTGGTTTTGGTCTTCCTAGTATAAAGACAGTCTTGGTGTTAGTTTCGTATTTTCTCAAGACCAAAACTTCAAGACCAAGATCAATTTTCCTCATCACTATGGTAAACTTTTAATAAAAATATTTTAAATCCTTAGCATTTATAAACCTTATTGTGAGTAATCATAAAGTAAAATTAGACATTTTTATTAATTTTTGAATAATGCATTTCCTTATCTTCATTTCGAATAATCGTCAATTGGGGCATTTATCCTTTTAATGCAGATATCATTAATCAATAAGTCAGTCTGTGGTATTTTTTTTATCAAAAAAAAATTGAATATTAACAACGATAAATACGACTTATTATTAAAAGAACCTAATACCTATCTTACTTTTATGAAACCATAAATGAACTAATTGAAATATTAAGCCCATTTCAAGTATGTGTACAAAATAATTGTTCTTGTATACATATTTATGATGTTTACTAATTCTAAAGCCAATAACAGTAGGTATTTCCCATACTATAATAAAAAAGTTCGTTTTATTTTTAACTAATAAGACCCAGCAATAACCGTTTTCTCAAGAAAAATTAGTTTCTCATGTAGAAATGGTTTTCCCGGACTAAATTGTGGTAGAGGTTAAAATTCCCGTACAAAAACTAATGGTAATTAATAACGATGATATCAGTATTGAATTTTGCAAGGCGACACAAGAAGAATTAGAAAAAAGATAACTAGGTTATATTCGATTATATTTATAGAGGGTAACCGATATAGATATATAAAATACTAACATTTACCTACTGCAAAATATGCCATAAAATTTCAACATAAGAATGTAAGCTATTAGGGCATTACTGTGGAAAAACAATAGCAGAAACACAAAATTAAATTGAAAGATGCAAGAGAAACCGAAATTAATCGCATATGTCTAAAATAAAAATAAATGTCGAAAGTAAATCAACAAGATAGTAGCACTTAAATTACTTGTAAATATTCACAAAATACCCAACATGAAAATTAAATATTAATTAACTTTAGTTATTTACATACCAGATGTGTATATTCATGTAATAATATTTAACCACTAACCCCATTTGGCATCACTTATGTAAAAAACGAGCCATCTGAAAGTAGTTTGTTAGATTCCTGATCTTTCCTTTTTGTTTTGCTCACAAAATAACATGAGCTAGTAACACATATTAAACATTTTTCAATACTTACTCATTAGTGTTTCATTGTTTTACCATTTTCTTCTCCTTCCTCATGTTTTTGTTCTTTTCTTCTTTTTAAAAACATTTCACTTTTACACTACACTTCCCCTCGCGGCCCCTTGTGACGGTCTTTTATTTATTACAAAAATCACAATTGACATTAATCTGGCGCATTAATTTCTAATGTAATATTCATTTTGAGTAAGTATAATACACTAGTGAGATTTAACCACCAACCCCATTTTGCATCACTTATGTAAAAACGAGTCATTTGAATGTGATCCGTTAGATTTCTGCCGTTTCCTATTCTTTGGTAATAAAATTTTTCAATACTTATTTATTATCTATTAATTGTTTTACCATTTTCTTCTCCTTCCTCATGTTTTTGTTCTTTTCTCCTTCTTAAAAACATTTCACTTTTACACTACACTTCCCCTCGCGGCCCTTTGTGACGGTCTATTATTTATTGCAAAGGTCACAATTGACATTAATCTGGCGCATTAATTTCCAACGTAATATTAATTTTTAGCAAGTATAATACAGTAGCATGAGAGAACAAATCTCTTTCAAAACATATTAAAAAACATGCATCTTACTATGAAAGTGATCCATACGATGAAAAGCCTTGTCGTTGAAATCATGAAGTCGGATATCCTGGAACGAAATTCATCCCTGCAGTTGGAAATTCTGAAACGTTTCCGATTTGACTTCGCACGCGGTACGTTAAAGCGGCACGGCGCGTGAAACTGGTGAAGTTCCTTCGCTATTCCCGGAAATC